TACGTAGGTTTAATTTTCATACTTTATATAATATTATTGTTTGATATAATATGTTTACGTAAGTTTCTTAATCAGAAAGATTTCTGTTGAATTGTCCCATAAGAAAGAGCACTGTTGCCTGAGATACAAGCTTATTGCTTAGTTCAGGCGCAGATGCAAATATATATTGTTAAAATTTTTCCTGAATAAAGAAATTATTATTATTATTATTATTGGTATTATACTTTTAAAAAAATGTAAAAGTCCATACTAAAACTGGCAAGTATAGAGATGGTATAGCGGAATTCAACAGCTTTCTACGGTTTTTCATAATATGAAGATTGTCTTCCGTGAAGTGTCTTGAGCATAAAACACTATTTTTGGTGAGAAACCATTGGTCCCCTCGACATGTAGCGTCGATCCACATCTTTTCCTTTCGGGGCATTTAGGAAACCTATAACATATAGATACAACAATTATACGCCACTATTTGTATAAAATAATTACCACAAAAAAAAAACGATCACCAAGCAAATATCGACTTATAAATCACAACACTATCGATACATGTGCTTTCGTTAGACAAAGACAACTATTTTAATTTACGTAATGAGTGAAAGGGACATTTCAAAAAGACATCAACGGGTGCTCAAATGATATCACTTTGCAACATTATATATCCAGTGTAAGTTGAATTCCGATACATTTGAAATAGGTTAACGTATAAACGAATAAAATTTACTTACTGATGAAATATTATGCCATCTTTTTGATAACTGGATGTCTTAGGTGACTTGCCACGTCATTTCACTGCATAGGAAGTCATTTGTAATGTATTTGGATACAAAATTATTTTTAAATTTTCAAAAACTCGGACGTGCCTACGGGTCACAAACTTGGTCGACAATGATATCGTGATTATTAGCGTCACTTCATATGCTAGCTACAGCAAGTATGTGTTGCGCGCGTTTGTGGCCCTGTATGCGGAATCTATTAGGAGGTAATCTGTGTGTTTAGTATATTAGTATATATAATTATAGGATGAAATAGTTCAAAAGTTTAATTAATTTAAGAACTAGTTATATATTATGTATATTACTCATTATTTAATAAATTTTAACATGGCAAAACGTCGTTCTACTATAATTGTTGAGTGGATAGACGTTAAATGACCAACAAAATATTTCAGATATATCATTCTTTATTACCGAAGGATTTTAGTAGGAAGTTATGAAACGTGAATTTATTTAATTTTTAATGTTACATAGGTATTTATAGCAAAAAAAGAATTAAGTAATAATTTATTTAATATCTACGAACTTTATTACAAAATTTAGTGGAAATTTACTTCACTATCCAAGTATCTACTTACATACATATACTTGCCTTTTGTATTAAAAAATTTTAAGCTGTTACAAAACACTGAAATCAAAACTTTGTTTACCAACAAAATTTTTAACTAAGTAGAATACGATTACATTTCTGTTAGGAATCGTATTTCAAGTTTATTTGTTGTTTACACTATCTACCTTTTCCTTCCGAGCCAAGCTTTGCGGTTCCCGACGAATGGCCTTGCAAGTTGCATGCGTTAGGCATCGCAGAACTCACGTAGGTGCGAAAATATGGTCTGTCGATCATAGTCAGAATAGGTATTTCACCTAAGTAACCTAATTAATATTTCGCTATGTATTTTGTTACTCTTTATTGACATCCCTCCATAACAACGGAAAGTCCACCGTAACGCAGGAAGAGGAAAATGTGCAAAGTAATACGGACACTCTCGCGCAGCGATAAAGTTTTATTTAGCTTGCTTGCGCGATTTATCTAATTAATAATAATTATGTAGGCTATTAAATGTCGGCAAGCAGTCAACATTAAAAGAGTGAAACTTCTGTACGTAGTACTATTATTTATTCTGTGGTAATACATATAACTCATTGATTACAACCTATAAAATTCTATAGATGGCCTCATAGGGGGGATTTTGCCATATTTGTCACGAGTATCGGATAGTAACCGGAGTTTTTTATTATTTTGGGTAGTTATCAGGATAATATTGCTTCCATCTTCGTCATCGCCGTCCATCTTCTGTTTATGTTTCCCTTTATTGCCTTTTGCTACACCCACGGGACGTTATGGGTTAGTGGAAATTCTTACACCAATACCACACGGTTCACATACCATAACTTATCTTAGTATATGCTATATCTGGGAAAAATTGATAAGAAATATAAACACACCGCCTAGTGAACCTCACTTTGGATCATGGGAACCGTTAATTGAATCAGTCAAATCGCATCTTTACAAATATATTGCATCGTAGATATTAACTTACGAAGAAATTAACACAGTTTTCAGTCAAATTGAAAATGTAGACAACTCGCGTCCGCTATTACTTCTTCTAATTTTTTAGTATTTTCCCGCCGCCCCGGTGGAAGACCAAGCGATACATTTGTTAGAAAGTACAAAGTACCGAGTGAAGCCCGCCACAGTCGATGGATGGGTGCTTCCATCTGCTTAGGATCCTATAATTAACAAAATCTATCCAAAACCAAGCATACCACTCCAAGACTTCAAGATAATGTAAGATCGTTTTATGTAGATCGGGACCAAAAAGATAGCCGGGCTAACTATGATAGTGAGATATCAAACATCTCAGTTCCCTCCCCTCCCGTGACTATAAGTTAATTAAACGCCATAAAATCCATATAATTATGTAGTTTTATTCAATGTGTAGTGTTGGCGTAAATTTAAGAAATCATTAGATTACATGTACAAATATATATATATATATTCTTTTTTAATCGATAAATCCCAAATGTATCGATCAACGTCCCAACCCTGTCCCATTACCATGGTTCGGAGCATTCTAAGTTCAACCTTGAATTATCCAATCACAGCGTATTTGACACGTCCCCCTCAACTCGAAATTTGGTGAATTCGAAACAAAACAAATATTCCATGATGCGGTATCTATTAGGAGGTAATCTGTGACTAAACACTAAACAAAAACTATTTCAACAATATTTACAAAAAGTTATATACGTAAACAGCGTTAAAAAAAACTTTAACATTTTATCGCCTCAAACGCGCTAGCCCTGACTGCGTTATTTCGCCCGGGCGCGTTGCGATTTTAGGGTAATTATTTCACGCAGGTAACAAGAGTGATAGAGGCCTGGTACTACGTACTAGAGGAGCTAATCCAAACAAAAATGTGCACTACTCTGTATCCGCACATGCGCGGGAAACGCAAGTCGCGCATACGCAGTTGATATAAACGCGCGAAAATTGTCATAATAAATAATTGTTTATTCAGATTGTATTGTTAATCGAGTGCTTTTTTTTAATTTTCGTTTTATGTTTGCATATGTACTAATTTAATATAAAATTATTACTAGCGCCGCTCCTCACTGCATGAATATAGAAACCACATTAACAGGTGTACGGATTGCAGTACAGTTCAGTTGAACATAGCGAGTGTTCGGAATGCCATATCTAGTGCGTAGTACATATGTATCGATGGTTGTAATGAATTGATGCAATTCATTTTATGTTATGTTACGACAGAATCTGTAATGAATAAAAACATATTATTTAGTAAAAATAAAATTATAACCTAAATACGCCCCTTTGCTGATACATACCACCTCCCGTTTCTAAACGGGTTATGAAGCAATAGGTCCGTCGCGTCGCGCTGCTCGAAGACTGTTGGCTAACTTCACATACTGTGTTGGAATCATTTTTATTCCTCATACATGCAGGTTTCCTTATGACGTTTCCTAGGTACAAAATGAGTTGGTCAGTTTCCATGGCCTAGCACTTACATCGAACTGTAAGTCACTTTATCACCTGATAAAAGTTACTTCATTAATAAAGATATCAATTAATTTATTTTGCAACCATCCGCTAACTAAATAAAATGATGTGCCTTACCTGGATTTAAGAACACCTCCCGCCCTCCCTCAATTGCCAAAACATATACCTATATTTATATGTGTATACATATAATATATGTCACTTAATGGTCAGCCGCCGTAGAGTCTACATTACCTGAGGATGCCTCGTGTAGAGGCGAAACACGTGACGTATTATCGTCAATGGTGTGTCTTTTCTGAAATAGTGGTGCCGGAAGTAGTGGTGCTGGGATTAGTGGTGACGGGATTGGTGCACGCAATTGAGGGAGGGCGGGAGGTGCTCTTCAATCCGGGTAATATACATCATTGTATTTAGTTAGCGGATGGTTGCAAAATAAATTAATTGATATCTTTATTATAATGAATTTCCGCAAAGTAACGCCTGATTCTATCAAATCACCATTTTTTATATAAAACTAAAGTGATAAAGTGACTTACAGTTCACCCGATAGTAAGTGGTTACTGCAGGCCATGGAAACCTTCGACCAACTTCAAATAATTTGTCACCTCTTAGGACGAAGATGGAATGCCTCACACACCTACTGTGATTATATTGGCTCTGTATACCCTTCAGAGCGGAACCCTGGGTTGCTTGGTACTGTGAAATTTACGGCGAGCACTTAGCCCGTGAACTACAACGACTGCTTATATTGTTTTTTTATGTTATTTTAGAATAAAGAAAAAGATAACTCCCGAGTTTACAGGAGAACACAACTGTTCTATTTGTCTGATAGGTAACTTTAACAGGCGAGACTACAATAATGGTAGGAAGTCACTGCATTTCAGAATAATCGGAAGTTATCGAGTGAAATGGAGAGTTTTAAAAGTTTTAATTATAATATAAGTTTTATTTATATTTAATCTATATCGGCTCGAGACCTGCTCTGGTGAATATAAAGTAGAATAGAATATAGTAGTATAGTATGTAACCTTTTAATTTTTTTTTATTTACTAACCCTAGCTTATAAGTTCTTTTTGTAACTACCAACCCACTCTATGGAAAGAAATTTCTGAAATAAAGAATAATAATAATAAACAATTTTAAAAAACATTTGAGTGCCTGAAATTTTAATATTATTCTCGAATTTACAGGAGGAGTATGGTACAATGCAACGCCTGAATGTGTCGTACCTCGGTGCGCCACATCCAGTCCTCAACTCTTATCTGCTGCTGTGCCCTATGCTCGGTGCAAATATCAAGTTCAAATGTTGCTGCTCTGTATGTGAAATTAATTTTAATTTTCTAATTGCAAACAATTTTATTACGTAGTATAAATGGCTCCACCACGTAATAAAATTGTTTATATTAATAGCTGAAGTATGGCTCCATATGGCCAGTTCTTGCTACAACTTAGTATCTAATATAGTTGCAGCACGAACGGGTCGGCGCGACCGGGGAAGGACCACGCTCTCACAGCGTAGAATAATAACGTAACACTGCTGTATTTTGTGTGGTAAGTGTAGAGAACCGGAGACCCTTTTTAGTGGAAACGAGCCATTCCCGGTCAGAAATGCTATATACTGCTGGGTTCTGCCATTGCTCGTTGGCTAAGGATAGAGGGGTAAGCCCTTTATCACAAGAAATAACGTCATTATAGAATGGATCCTCCGATCTCGCCAGGAAGTAATGACGGAGGCTGCACACTTCACGGTTATGCATGGTGAGCACGCTCAGAAAGCCACGCCAACCATGCTTTCGCGGCGTACAGCCTCATTACCGACTTCGGATAATGCATCCTATGGGACGTCATGGTAGTACGGACTTTTCTATCCAGGGCGTTAAGTTCAGTATGAGTCCACCTGAGTATGCCAAAGGTATACATGAGGACAGGCATGGCCCAACCGTTATAAGCGTGTGTCCTATTCACACCGGACAAATTACTGTAAGTACTTTGGTCAAGCGTGCATATGAATATGTGCATATGTTGTCAGGAGACAGGTTCCGATACAGTAGCAAAGACACGGGATCAATTGCAACACAACGTGATAGAACCATGCTGCATCACGAATGGGTCGGCTCGACAAAAGAAGAACCACGTTCGCTGAAAGAAAATGCTACTGTATTAAGTATCGTGAGTGATGAGAACCGGGGACCTTTTATACTGGTAACGAATCATTCCGTCAGTAATTAAGAGTTATAACGCATTTTGGCTTTTAGTCGAGAATAAATGTAGCCGTCTATGTAATGGGCAACATTATTTACTCGTTATTTGATATACTGTAACTATGCATGGTGTGTGCGGTCGTCAACCTTTCTTCTGTAAAAAAACTTTTACTAGACTCGAACATCAACCATTTGAGTTTTCCCACAAATATTAACTCATAAATCCGGATGGGTTTGAAACTTGCAAACACAGTGTAGCCAGGTTTCAAAAATATATGAGCAATTTTAAATAAGCGATTCATATTGCTTCTATTTCTTAACAGGCGCCTTTTCATGCCTACATAAAATGCGAGTTTTCTTAAGACAGGAGCCTTTATTTGCTGAAACTAAAATTTCCCATAACAATTGTTGTAAAGTTGTAAGAATACAATCGATGACATTAAAATATTTTGTGCATAAGCGCATAATTAGACGGATTTTTATTTCATGAAACTAAGGTGGGTGTACCATGGAAGGCCACTCTAACAAATAAACAGTTATTATTCGTTTATTTACTGGATAAATGAACCAAACGAATATTTAAGTAACACTTTGTTTTATTTCGTGACATATAAACCACTTTTTTAAATTGCAGATTTAAAAAAGTGGTTTATATGTTGAACTTAAGTTTCATTGAACTCTTACGAATGGCCTTGCTAAGAACAAGGCTTCTTAGAAGGCCAATATAATAAATCAGTCATTTATATATAACACTAAAGTTTAATAAATAGCGATTAAATCTACAATAAAAAAGTGGTTTTTATGTTATATACTTAATAAAACAAAGTATTACTATAAATTTACATAAATAAAGCTGCACATCCAACATTGTTTACTTCCGAAGAGGAAAATTCATTTAAATAAAGCATATTTATTAAAAAAATTAACGTTATGTTTTTCATAAAAAAATATTAATTTTAAGTGAAAGGGGTTTCACTTAAACTGTACGGATATTCGAGTATTAGGTATTAGCCCAAAATTTTTGAACACAATGGGCAAAAATATTTTATGGCTTAAAAAAACATCAGTGACTGATACGGACACGCAATTTTCTTTTAAGACTTAATCATCAATTTCAAATCGATAGTTTTTTCGAAAATTATGTGAAGTTTGTCGAAGATGTCACTCCAGACTACTCCAGACTGCATTATTTAATATTTTTATTAAGATCACCTAGTCGATGGCATGAACTAAGTGGTGGGCGGGGTTAAAATGCATGCTATCTCAGCCGACATCACGTGCGAAAGCGAAAGGCATGATGATTTACAACAAAACGAGCGCGCGAAATTTTATAAACAAACCTTTGGAAATCTGGATATGATTATGAAAAATCTATTGAATTTATCTGTTCAAAATAAAATTATTTGTACTTTTGAACACCTAATCTATCCCTGTATGGTAACTGTTTTGCAATTTTCGTTCTTCTTATGTTATTTATTTCCTCCCAAACATGTGTTAAATTTAGTACTTTTAAATATATTCTTTTTTACTTTTTTGTTTCCATACAGGGCTAAATAATGATGAGACAAATTGAAATCATTTTTTATTTTGAACGTACACCATCAAACAGTGGAGTAATCGCCAGACTTCGTTTGTATGGAAGAATGAGTGACTAGTGTACCTTTTTTTTTTGCGGATGGAAAATCATCTAATGACGCCTTTCGCTCTGGGTGGAGCGTAAGGGAGTGTCAGACTTTTACTGACTAAAAACCATCCGTGTTCCTTCAGTGCCCTTACGTTCCGGAGCCGCGGTATCTCTTTCGAACAGCCCGCAGCCCCGGCAGGCGTCGGCCCTTGCGGGTCCCTTCACGCTGCTTAAAGCTCTTTGAGGCGCGCGTGGAACAAAACACGCCGTCGACACGGCCTGTCGTCGTTAGACGGACGGACGGCGAGCTACCCATTGCTCGCCGTCCACAGGCCCGCGCCTACGGTGGCCGGGGGCCACGACGTAGTACCCCCGACGCCCGGGGCGTCTCCCGCGGCGGCCGGGGAGGAAAGCTGCTGCTCTCTCTTTCTCCCGCTCCGCCACCTCCTTCGCTAGCATCACTGCTTCGCAGAAGGTGGTGACGGCATCCCATTCCGTCTCGCTCCGGACCATGGCTTCGACCAGGGCCGGACGCGAGAGGTCGCCGCCGCCTATCGCCGTTACGAGGACACGGCGGTGCTCCGCCCAAGCAGGGCACACCTCCACGGTGTGTTCCACCGTGTCCTCCGGTCCATCCTCGCAGTGGGTGCACCCGGGCGTTTCCTCCCGCCCGATTCGGTGCAGGAACCTCCCGAACACACCGTGTCCGGTGAGGACCTGCGTCAGGCGGAAGGTGAGGATGCCGTGGCGTCTCTCAAGCCACTCCTCAAAGAGGGGTCTTATCGCCGCTATAGTGGCGTGCCCAGCACGGGGTTGCGACAGTCGCTCTCTCCATGTCGCCATGAGATCGTGCCGGAAGTCTGTCCGCTGCACGACAACTTGCCGCGGCAGCGGAGTTTCCCCCCGGCATAGTGCCTCCGCGCGCCATTCGTGCAGGCGTGCGAGGACTATCGCCTCCAGATCCCATGGCGGCAACCCGGCAAGGAGACTAGTGTACCCTTAAGTTTATTTTTAGCTTATCCTTATTATTTTTTTTTTCAAATATTGCCTTTAATTCATATACATATAATAGAAGGCAATTACTTTAGATTCCGAATAACCGTTAAGTTTCGCATTTTTCATAATAAATTTTACGATACTAAATATTCGACTTTTTATTTATAATTAATTACTAAAAATATATGTTATAATGAAAGGTCGTATATCCTTTTGTTGTGCCAAATATCGCAAGACCTGTTTAAATTAGTACAGCTCCGAATAGAGGTGAAAAACGCAGTTAAGATGATGCCGGTTTTAAAACGCCCTAAACTGGCGATATTTGAAATAGTACTTTTGGAAAAAAAAAAATATCTCCGTATTTACGTTCAATACATAAATACTACCGCATTTCTCTGGAAGGTATTGATGAGGTTAGGCGTAAAAAAAATTGTCTGAGCTCATAGTCTAAGCACCTTAGTAGTTTTTGTGTAAAAGACTGTTTTTGCTTGTTTTTACTCTACTAAATCCATTTACTTCAAATTGTTTACACAGAAATGTCCAGTCAGTCCGCTCCTGTATAAGACGAGTCAAGAGATGACTTTACAAACCCACACATCACTAATGGCATGTTCAAATAAGGAAGATGTGCTCCGGAATGCTTGTGTCATCATAGCTGGTCCTACTCACCACAAAAAGGACAAAATTAAAGAATTCAAATTTGATGTTGAGGTTATTCACCTAAGTTTATGAATAATATATATAGTTGTTGAAAGTATACCTTGATGTTAAAACAATTTTACAATTATTTTTCTAGGATATACAGAGATGCTCCTACTGTCGGTGGACATTCTTTCATACTTTCCCAAGAGGACCCGAAATAGGTGATTATCTTTTTTCACATGCAAATGCAAGGACTTACAATGCCTTTGACAACATGCAATATATTGCCTCTGCATTAATGGCTAAAGTTATTAAGGGACATTTGTTTTGAATGTGAATGATGAAAATATGAGAAATAAAATACTTTGATATAATTTTTAAATTGCTTTACTTACAATTACAAACTACACTAATCTAATTTTTATTACATTTAGTTTTTTATGTACACATACACAATGCCAGTGTTAATGGAGCCTTTTCAATTCAATCATGTAGTAATCAATAATATAAATATTCTGTTGGAACGGACCTCTCATTTCTGAGTGTTATGGAAAAGAATGGGACATAGCTTTGTTGCTTATACACAGATTGACCTTGAAATATTTTTTATTCTTATCATTGTTTTTTTTACAATATTGTGAGTTTCATATTCTTTGGAGACGGTCTAAAAGTTCAGATTTATAAATAGGTAACTGTTGAGTTACAATATAAAGTAAAATATGCCATTGAAACAAAATTCTTAGTCTAATATTTAACAAATTTTATTAAAAATACATTTTTTAGCTTGGAAAGGTCTACAAACCAGAAAAATCAGTAAATTCAAAACCAAGCCAGCATAGCATTATTTCAACCCAAATAATATAAATTATGAGCTAATTTTTCAATTGTCTGATAAAAGCTATCTATCAAATTAAATAGTGACTTGACTGAACATAATAAATATATAGAGCCATGTTAGCTCAGATGGTTAACGCTAAATATAACAGGACGTGAGTAACCCAGGTTCGATTCCCGCAGGCACCTATGAAATTGTTAATTGAAATTTTAAGTGCTGATTTAGCATGTGCTCGGCAGTGAAGGAAAACTTAGTGAGGAAACCTGCATGTCTGAGGAATTAGCAAAAAAATATTTCTGACCATTGAAGTACACCAACACCCATTGGGGCAGCGCGGTGGACACTTCCTTGCCCTAAAACCCTCTCAGAAAGGAGAGAAGACCTATGCAATAGGACGTATATAGGCTGTACCTTTACTTTACTTCTAAAGAATTACTAATACACAAACATACTGTTATTTTTGTAACATCTTTAACGATATTCAACATAGAAAAACAAAACCAATAAGCTTTATTCAAAAACTAACAAAAACAAACTTTCTTTTATGTTTAATTTGAAAAAAAATTCAATACAAAAAAAATGTTAGGATTTAAAGCTAGCTTATAAAGTGTAGGCCAACCTTGCCCGACCAATCATGACAACTATGGCAGTATATCAGACAACCTATGGTAAAGCTTATATTCAGCAGTGGACTTTCTGTAGCCTGTAATGATTATGATTGAAAAATAGCTAATAAAGCTTCATAATAAACTGAAAATTTTTAAAGTCTTGATATACTAGGGGAGGAATATAATGAGAAAGGATGCCTAAGAAATTATAACTATGTAGAAGGAAATGTAAAATTTATCAATTTACACTAATGCAGAATAAATCGCCTTTGCTACTTTTCAATACCATCAGAAAAAGGAGGCCTTTGCCCAACATATATATATATATATATATATATATATATATATATATATATATATATATATATATATATATATATATATATATATATATATATATATATATATATATATATATTTATATATATATATATATATATATATATATATATAAAATATATTATATATATATATATATATATTAAATGTTATTTTAATATTTATGTAATGTCCAAAGAAATATAATAGAATATTGCATACAGAAATTTCAAAATAATACAGATTTTGTAGGAAACTTTATTATTTGTTGGTGAAAAACCTATAATTAACTTTAACAGTAATAACAAGATCCTAGTCTTTTTGATTCCTGTACTTCCCTCTCATAAATTTGGGCAGGGGAACTACACCAGAACATGGGACTTGGCCGTATGTTTCACAAATACAAGCCCTTTCGCAACCTACGCCAAAGTTAGCTGAATTATCTTTCTTTTCGGCAGCTACAGCCTCTGCTTCTAAAACATCCTTAGATTTTCCAACGGTATTCAATAAATGTTCTAAAATTTCTTCTTTAGATTTGTTATCAACATTTACCAAAATCCGTCTTCCATCTTCGAAATAGCACTTTATAAACGGCGAAGGAGTTAAATTTTTTAATGTAGTCACCTGAACGTCCGGATTTTTGTACTGAATCTGTGGTAAATACCAAAACACGAATTCCTTTGCTCCTGTATTGTTTTGACCGAGAATGTTATAGGCAACTGAGAATATTCTTATTTTGTCTTTGAAGACGAGTTTTCCAGCGTTTAGATAATTCAAGGTACGGCGTATAGGCGCTCTTCCTTTCATAAAAGGCATTTTACCAGTTGTTTAATATAAACAATAAAATTAAACGGTTACTTATTAATTATTAGTTCTAATAATAATAATAATTTATAACAAAACCTTTTCTAACCTGTTCTAACCAAAAAATTGTAACACTTTTAACATGACATTGACAATTCGAGAACTGACAACTGACTTTTTTTACGTTATGTATTGGCAAAGGTATTAATGCTTCTAAAGCCTGACCTGACCTCATACCTACCTACAAATTTCTTTAAAATTATTATCGTAATATGTCAATTTGCTAAAGTTTTTTGAAAATACGACAACATTTTTTCCAAGCAAATTCCAGGCGATAAGAGCAGTGGTGCCAGGCCATACCTGCATTCCTCTTTCTGCATGAGTCCACTTTGTACATCACGGGTAGGTTTTAAGGACAACCCTCCCAGTGCATGTCACCAAACAGCATCCGGAGTGGACAAGTTAAGCCCTCTGAAAACTCAAGAACTTTGCACGGGCCATCCATGTGGGTTCCTATTAGTTTAACGTGGTTACCACTGTATAATTTAGTCGTTAGTTTAATAACAGCATTAATTTATTAATAATAATTAATAATTAATTGTTAAAAGTTGTCTCCAAAATATGTAATTAATTTTCTCAATAAACCACAACGGTGGTTATTGTCTAACTAGAAAATGAAATAAAAACGTAGAGACTTAGCTTTTTTGCATTATTGAGAAAAAATTAAATCAAGTAGTTTTGGAGGAAATAGGTGAATACGAAATTAATACGGAATAGTGAACGGGCCTGTGAGCAACTGTATATAGAAGGCTGATGTGTGTAACGATACAGTCAGTAGCTTTATCTTTTTACTAAAGTGGGAGTCATACTTCCGCACCAAGGGTCATACTACCAGCACACTATATACCTAACGTTTTGCTCGAGTCCGACTCATACTTGGCCGAATTATATAAAAAACTATTGTTAAACTTTATAGTTTAGAATATTATTGTTATACCAAGCTTGAATATTATTGCATGTATTAGCGTTATTACGATAGAGTTTAAACAATAAACCTTTAAAAAATACGTTTCTTGTGTCTTCCGAAAATCCGCCATAAAAACACTTATTCTATGAAAATTTTTATCGGCTGCCTATTATGACTTGGTAGTAACCGTTTATAGGTAGGATAGGTAGATATCGTATGCTTGGTAAGAATAAAACAACATCAAATTGAAGGCTGCAAAAGTGCCTGACAAAACTGACTTTTTGCTTGGAACTCGCGGGCTCAGGTCGCAAGCACACACGCAAAGCATAGTATAACAAAATGATGACTACATACGCTGTGGAACGTGAAACCAAAGCAGAGACGGCATTGATATTTCTTTACCAATAGGTACTTGCGTATGTTTATTTTTTATGTGTGGTTTGTTTTGTGAGTAAAATTAAAAAAGAGACTTCTCAATTTTTATTGCCATCTTTTTCATAGCCTCACTTGGTATAGACAAAAAATCACGAAGAGACTGCACAGACCAAAATTATCAGCCAGAGAAAATGTTAAAACGCTTTGTTGCAGCAGAGCAAATAAAGCAAGTTCATTGTCTACACAATCCACTCACCAACGTTCAGTTACTAGTAACTGAACGTTGGTGAGTGGATTAGTATATAATAGCTTGCAGTCGAATTCATTTTTAAACACGGCTGTATCTGTAGACGTACTTACACATTGTCTAGAGATATATTAATTTAATAGTTTCGGGATGTTTTACAAACCAAAAATTTATTTCAATACGTCAGTGAAAAGAATTCCTTGAGATTCATTGTTTTGCTGCATATGTGAAGATTTCTAGCTTTCGATACATTTACAAGCAGCCAAATTAGAGCTGCCTGTACGAAAAACATGAGGCGTCCAGATATATAATATATTCATCTTATACTGTAATGCCCTTAACATTTTTTAACAATAATTGAAAATTATATTTCCAATGAGAGCTTGAAGCATTTGAACAGTATTGGTAAATTAATAGGGATAGAGGGAATTTGTGGTATTAATACTGTCTGTCTTTTGGGTCCTCCGGCGATAAAACTTCTTTAGAATCTCTTGAAAGTTATAACGGATTGAAACGGTAAAGCGACACTACAAAAGATTTAGCCTGCGAGAGAATGAGATAGTCTATATATATAGTATAGAGTGTTACCTATTATGTATGGCGATTATGCATGTGATCTATGAGCAATAAGGATGTACTTACGATGAGGAAATTGAAAACTTGAAGTCTGTGTAATGTGTAATGTAATACTAGAAATTTAGTTTTCTGAAAGTTTCACTTCTATCGCGTGTGAACTTCACACAAATTTTTATTGTTATTTCTCACCGATTCATCGCTATTTCACATTACGTTTTGTTTTGTTTAAAGCTCGAAAAACATTTTCAGTTGTTGTCTGACATTGCAGATCTTCAAAATCAACCACGTCTTTAGAATCCATTGCCATGCGACGTTCGCAAACTCAAAAAAAATTTTAGCGAAAAGTACCACACTCTTTATCATTGCTGAACAAAATTCTCGTGTTGCTTATAAGGTGTTTGAGCCCACAATTGTGAAGCTTTAAGAGACACGTTAATCTGATCTACGACTGTTTCTCGCCTGATAATCAATAGCGTCTTCTAAAACGATCAATTCACACTGCTACAACAAGGCGTCACAACCTCTACTGTTTAAGAAACAACAGCTAACGAGTCATATCTGTCTTTTACCAATTGCGTTAGCATAAAATTTTACTGAGACTTCTTGCCTATGAGTCCCGTTGCGTCCAAAAATATGGTTCACATTCTGTACTCTCTACGCATCTCAAATTTGCTTTTATTCCCAACATATTTGGGGTTCTGCATGGAAAACCTCAAACTCCAAAACCGCGGTGTCGTTAAGTTCCCTGAGTAAACCAGTGGATAGTTTCTTTGTGGAACTAGCATTCCGAAATCAGAGAGCTGTTTACTCACCATTGAGAAAACTTCTTACTCGCATAAAACTACCTGCAACGACATGAAATCGGACAGAAAAACCCAAAAACTGATTTTGGACCGACCTGGAACCTCATGATCGAAAGCCACGCTTACGACCACAAGGCCAATTAGAAAGTCAAAAACCACCTATTATTATCATTGTAAATGTTATTTTTTTGCCGTGTAGTGGCGGTTGAGAATATCCACTACCCCATATCTTCCCGTGGGTGTCGTAAGAGGTGACAGAGGGGGACAGGCAGGAGATGGGCAGCAGCATCTTCCTAATAACAACAATAATATAACAAAAAAACGCGGTTGCCAACCCACTAGCCAGGCGTGGCAACTATGGCAAACATCCCCCCCCCCCCCCCCCATGAATAACGACGCAAACAAACGATCCCCAGTCCCCGTCGGCCCTGCTATTCCTGGCTACGGTGGCGACCATGGTAACGGCGGGGCAGGGGGGTGCTAAGAATCTCCGGTGGAGGTTCGGTTGCCACCTCCGACGACTCGACCTAGCAACATATAACGCACTCACCCTGAGGACTGACGAGAGGATATTAGAACTGGAAGAAGAGGTAGACAAGTTGCGCTGGCATATTATTGGATTATCCGAGGTCCGAAGAGAGGGGGAGGACACGGAAATCCTTGAGTCCGGCAATTTGTTCTATCACCGGGAGGGCGACCATCTATCCCAAGGAGGTGTTGGATTTATCGTCCACAAGTCTCTAGTCAACAACGTAGTAAAGATTGGGAGTGTGTCGACGAGGGTCACGTACCTGAAACTCAGAATCACCAAACGGTATTCGCTGAAGTTCATACAGGTTTACGCACCAACCTCGGCACATCCCAATGAGGAGATGGAGGAAATGTATGAGGATATTTCCAGAGTCATGCATTCCTCCAAAACTCACTACACGGTGATGATGGGAGACTTCAACGCAAAACTAGGCACAAGAGAAAACGGTGAGCCGAAGTTAGGGAAATTTGGAGTAGGGCAAAGGAAACGTAGGGGCCAGCAGCTGGCTTATGGAGAAAGAGAGACTCTTTATGATGAACTCTTTCTTTCAGAAGTGGCCCACAGGAAGTGGATCTGGTCCAGCCCCGACGGTTCGACAAAAAATGAGATTGACTTCATTATACCGGCCAGACGCCAACTGTTGAGTGATGTCTCAGTGATCGCAAGGGTGAAAACTGGCAGCGATCACCGAATGGTTAGAGGCACACTGAACCTAAACGTTAAGCTGGTGAGGTCTCGTCTAATGAAGTCAACGCTCCGTCCCCCCTCGTGCTCTAATCCAGAATCCCGAAACCTTTCAGCTCAAGTTACGTAACCGCTTTCAGTGCCTTGAAGATTGCAATGCAGTGGACGTTATAAATGATAAGCTCGTGGAAACTCTTCATGCAGTCGGAGCTAAGTTCTGCAAGACCCGCCGCAGAAGAACAAAAAAAACTCTCCGATCACACTCTTAATCTTATGACTTTTAGACGGGAGATGAGGCTGCAATCGTCAACAGATTTGACAGCATACAGGCAACTGAACAGACAGATTTCCAAACGCATGCGGCGAGACATGCGCAACTTTAATAGTGCTCGTATTGAAGAAGCGATTGAGCGGAACCAGGGCTCCAAATCTTTGCGAGAGATCTGTCTGCCAGTAAGAGCCAACTGACAAAGCTGAAGACTGAGTGTGGCAGAATCGTTTCCGGGACACCTGAGATTCTGAGTGAGATTAAGAGGTTCTATGAGTAGCTGTACACATAATGGTTGGAGCCACACCCAAGTGTGAGTAACGATCTAAGAGCAAGTCTTATCCGACACTATTCCGATGATATCACGGACGTTTGTCTATGCGAAATTAGAATGGCTCTCCAGCACCTTAAAAATGTCAGAGCCCCAGACGAGGATGGAATTACAGCGGAGCTTCTGAAAGCGGGTGTAACACCGGTACTTGAAGTCCTTCAGAAGCTCTTCAATTCCGTCCTCCATGGTGGCACTACTCCGGAGGCGTGGAGCAGAAGTGCGGTGGTCTTGTTCTTTAAGAAAGGCGACAATGCTCTCTTGAAGAACTACAGACCGATATCCCTTCTGAGCCGCGTCTACGTGCTGTTTTCAAGAGTCATTACGAATGGTCTCGCACGCAGACTCGACGACTTCCAGCCTCCCGAACAAGCTGGTTTTCGAAAAGGCTTTAGTACCATAGACCACATACATACTCTTCGGCAAATTGTACAGAAGTCCGAAGAGTATAATCTGCCACTTTGCCTGGCGTATGTGGAATATGAAAAAGCCTTCGATTCTGTCGAAATTTGGGCGGTGCTACAGTCTCTTCAGCGGTGCCAAGTTCACTGTCGGTATATCGAAGTGCTGAAGTGTTTATACAGTAGGGTTACGATGGCTATCCGAGTAAAGAACCAGAGTACGAAACCTATCCAACTGCAGAGAGGTGTAAGACTAGGTGACGTTATTTCCCCGAAACTCTATACCGCTGCATTGGAAGACGTTTTCAAGCTACTGGACTGGAAAGGATACGGTATTAACGTCAATGGCGAGTACATCACTCACCTTCGATTTGCTGACGATATAGTCCTTATGGCAGAATCGCTGGAGGACCTAAGCACTATGCTCAATGACCTAATAATGTCTTCCAACTGAATAGTGCCTTCCAACGGACAGGTCTTAAGATGAACATGGACAAAACAAAGATCATGTTTAATATCCATGTCACACCTATGCCGGTAGTTGTTGGGAGCACTAAGCTCGAAGTTGTTGATGAGTACATTTACCTGGGACAAATAGTCCTAATAGGTAAGTCCAACTTTGACCGAGAGGTCAATCGACGGATTCAACTCGGCTGGGCAGCGTTCGTGAAATTACGACGCATTTTCTCGTCAGGTATACCTCAAAACCTGAAAACAAGGCTGTACTGCCAGTGCGTGTTACCAGTGATGACCTACGGAACCAAGTCGCTCAAAGTCGCTCAGCGAGCTATGGAGAGGGCTATGCTCGGAGTTTCTCTGCGTGATAAACTTAGAATTGAGGATATCCGCAGTAGAACCAGAGTGACCGACATAGCCCAACGGATTAGTAAGTTAAAGTGGCAATGGGCTGGCTATATAGCTCGAAGAACCGACAACCGTTAGGGAAAAAAGGTTCTCGAGTGGCAGCCTCGTACCGGTAGGCGAAGTTTAGGGCGACCCCCCACTAGATGGAGTGACCTGGTAAGACATGCAGGAAGTCGATGGATGCAGGTGGCTCAGGACCGTGCTTTGTGGCATACCTTGGGGGAGGCCTATGTTCAGCAGTGGACTTGTGAAGGGCTGTAATGATGATGATGAATAAATGTTACTTTTGCCTTTGACTTTGATTATTTTTATAGAAGCGGGGGCAAACGAGCATACCTTTCACGGTTCACCTGATGTTAAGTGACTACCGCTGGCTATGAACAACCGCAACATCAGGGAATCGCAGGTGCGTTGCATTCCCTTTAGATAGGCGTAAGCTCTTTTCTAAAAGGTCCCCAGTTCGTATCGGTCCGGGAAAATCTGGTAAACTATTCCACAGAGAGGTCGTACGTGGAAGAAAACTCCTAGTAAAACGTACAGTGGTGGACCGCCAAGCATCCAGATGGTGTGGATGGTATCGGGAGGTTTGCCGGGTATTGCGTTCACGAAATTGGCGGCGGGGATTAATGGATTGATGCAAAAAACTTAGAAATTTGAAGGTGACGTAATGGCGTCATCTTACTTTTATTTTTCGAGTTCGAAGAGGATAATTTTTTTACATTCTGATAATTGACTACTGAGATGGTAAATGATCACCTTTACTCGTGAACATCTGCAAAACCAGGGGAATTGCCTTTAAGAAAGGAGTAGGCTCTTTTATTGAAAGTCACTAATCCGTATCCGTCCGGAAAATCGTTGGTGACAGTAAATTCAACAGTTTGTTCGTGCGAGACAGAAAATGACGCGTAAAATGCACAGTAGTGTACCGCCAGCCATTGAAATGATAAGGATCGAATTTCGAGTATGTAAAAGTGTAGTATGAAACTTTTAGACCCTTTTTAGCAATAGTTTAGTGGGATTCTTAATCAGTTTGCAGAAATACACTAGTACGCTCATTATAACGATTCGTTATCGGCCGATTAATAAGTTTGATGGGTTACAGCATTCAAACTGCACTGTCTGCAAGCTATGGACCGTCTGCTAAATAAGTGGATCACTTCAACGCATGCTCACTAGTTTATTGTTCTGTCGATCGACCTGGCCAGTAGCTTCAATTCGATTCAAGCTTGTCGTGGATATGTTTTATGTTCGTTCCACGTCACACTCACGCCTGTCAGAGGCAGAGACTACGCACTTTCATTTGGCACGATGCTACTGTGTATGAAAGCTGAGAAATCTGCACACAAACATCATTTTGTCAGTATTAGTTCTAAAAATAAAACGAGAAAAAATATCGATGTTTTTTTCCTTAATGCTTTTTATATTGTCATTTCAAAAATAGATTATATATATATATATATATATATATATATATATATATATATATAATTTTTTCACAAATGAATGTGTAAACCAATTTCTTTACAATAATATATTAATAAATGTCACTTTGCGATTGGATGTCAGAAGTATCTCAAGTTTCAAGGCACCTAAGTGGACAGGTAACATTAACGCAAAAAGGTAACATGCGCAAACATTTAGTATACAAAATTTCATAACTTTTTCTTATTAAAATCCACTTCAAACGTTATTTATACTAAAATTATAAAGATTTTTTTATAGTATGAGGGTGACAAACGAGCACACATTCCACCTGATGTAAAGTGGATGATGTGGTCCATAGAAATCTACATTTTTAACCTCGCTTAAGAATTTAAATGCGTTGTCACCCTTGAAGACTAAGATAGAATGCCTCGATTCCAGTAAAACGGGTCTTTGGTTCTCTACACTCACCATATGTAACACAGCAGCATTAAGCTGCTATTTTACGCTGGTATTCTGTGAAAGCGTGGTCCCTCCCCGGTCGAGCCGAACCATTCATGCTACAACCATAATAGCTGCAGTATGGCTCTACCACGTTGGAAGATAATATTGAAGGATAATTTTCTAAACCATTGCACCTAATTAAAAATATTCTTACCATTTGAAAGGTACGTTATTCCAGATATACACATAGGCATAATCTATATAATATGCATAGATAATTGTTCAACCCGGGCAATACTGGATCGAGCTGATGGTTTAAACTATAAAACAGAATCAGTAATTTGCTGGCGGTCAGTTACCGTTTAAACCCTTAAAAATTTATGATTAATAAATCCACATTTTTATTAACAATTGGTACAAAGATATAAACAATGTTCTCATTGGAAAAATAACCTTTTGGGATGTAAATGTAAATGACCCCATGAAGGAAAAAAGTTAACAGGTACTACTCTTAAAATGAAAGGAGAAAGAAGATAAGAAAAAAATGTATTTGTAAATTTTTAGTTTTTGTTTATTTACTCCACTCCACTGAGTTAATAATTCAATCATGGGCCGATGAATATGTTTTTACAACAAAATCCCAGAAAATATACACAACTTGACCTGCTCAAAATTCAAAAACTTTATTTAACTAAGATTGTGTAAAAAGGGTTTATAATATTACGGAATTTATGGATGATAATAAAGGGTGATGAACTACCAAGCTATTTCTAATTAGTTATGTGTTGTTAATTGTAGTATGATTGTTACCTGTTATTTTTTTAAGTATAGTTGGGTTTCTTGCTGGTTCCTCCCAAGACAGAGGCTTTTTTCCAAACCAGTGGTAAATTTGAAACAGTGACTTTCAATAAATATTATTTGTAATCTATATTGAATAAAATGTTTCTGTTTCTGTTTAAAAATAAGTTTGCAAGATTAAATATTTAAAAAGCATAAACTGAATTTTTTCTATCATTTCTAGTTACATTTAATTCATCTATGCAGCCAAAAATGGGATTTGTTACATTCGCGAAATTAATATCGAATGCACACGGCCAGTATTTATTGCTTTGATACTGACACTTTATGCAACTTTTCTAATACTTTCGGCATTAATTTTGTCAATATAAAAAATTACCAGTTTTAAGCTCTACTAAATGCATATAAATACAGCTTGTACATATATACAGTATGTATGTACGTATATATACGTATTAGCTTTGGGTATCAAACAACTAGATGGCACTTCGTGTCGTTAATTAAAATAAAGTGAGAGCTGCCTGCTTATTAGCTTGTGGCTGCCTGTCTATTTCCTATATAATATTTTAGCCAATGTAGCTTGCTACCTACGTTATCTATTTCCCGCCTCAGTGTATTAGTGTTCTGTGATCTTTATATTTATGATTGCGAGTGAAGTTTTGGCGGGAACTTAGCCGTCGACGGATTGTCGCTCTTGTTTTGTCGATTGATTATTCATAGAAGTGGATTTTGATTCGTAAAAGTAATGCGATTTTGTGAATTAAGTGTCTGCACGTGTAAACTATTAGAGAAAACGACGAAACAAGTGTTTTGATGTTGATAGTTGATCGAGTTATTTCGATCGCTTGAGGGCATTGTGAACTTGAGTGGCTGTCGTCATCAACTATCCGCTAGGTTGAGCTTTCGACAATTTTTTCTAAAAACTTCGCAATGTGACGCATCGGCATATTGTGAAGAAAAAATATATAAAGAAGTGATAATATATGAAAGAAATGATAGGCTCAGAAGAGCTAGAACCCAGATCCGTGAATCCAGTTAATTAAAAAAGTGATTGCGAGCAGTGCTGCCACTTTAGCGACTTTGTCGCTAAATCTAACGAGTTTTTTGTTAAGTTTTGTTCAGTTTAATTCAATTTAGGTTCAGGTTCATGGTTAGGTTGAGGTGTTCATGGGTCAGGTTCAAGGTTAGTTCAGGGAGTTTAATTCAATGTTTAGCGACAAAAAATATTCTGGCGACTTTTAGCGACATCTGCACTTACTTAAATTTTTGTTACCATCTGACTACTTTAGGCGTAAGGAATACTATACTTTATCCGTTAAAGAAATAATAAAATGTAAAGGAACCGAAACAAAGGTTCTCTGGATGTCGCTTACCGTGAGTTTGCACTGACACGATTTTCACAAAAAACATGTTTTAAACACTGTTTTCCGTCAAGGTATCAAAAAGCATTTGCACAGTCAAAGAACATGTAATGAAATATGTTTGACAGTTTATTGTACATTACATACTTTAACTTATTATATCTTTATAACTACAGAAACAAAATGTTTGAAAACAAAGTTATAGAAATATTGTCATGTTGAAAGATAAGTTTGAATATCTGATAAAATTTAACACAGTTTTGTGAGTGCGAACGCCACCATCAATAAAAACATGTTGTTTGATTTATTTTACGCGATTTGTTTCAAAACATTACGTGTTGAATGTTTCTCAGTGCAAACTTACTGTTATACAATAATAAACTCATTAAAAAAACTACAACATTAAAATCACGAATAAAAATAAATCACTTAACATGTACAATATTATTATGCTCATTTTGCTTTATATATATATATATATATATATATATATATATATATATATATATATAATAAGAATATTAATGTACGATTAATATACTGTTCGATTTTATCTTTGTTTCGCGTTTTTTTAATAAAATTAAATTTAGCGACATTTGGGGACTTTTTTTGTTACTAAATTCATGTATAACTAGGGACTTTTTGACGGCAGTCTAGAGACCTACGGTAATTCAATGTGGCAACACTAATTGCGAGTAACATATGATTAGTGACATTTCCTTGTCAACTTTTATGTTGAAAAATAAAATTAGTGCCACCAACTTATCTATTCAGTTTACAGAGTCGCTAGTGGAGTGCTTACTATTGCCATTTAAGAAATTCGCCGAGGAAATAGGTGACTACATATTCATTAGGTACACATAATATAAAATAAAACAAATTTCGTGTTAATATATTAAAATTAGTGAGAATTAGTGTTATTATATATATTATTTATATTTTATAAAAATAATTGTGGTCGTGGTCTCGGAGTTCAAGCGGCCGAACTCCAGGAATTTCTGTTTTGAAAGACGTACCCGCGTTAGCTACTGATTCCAATAATTCATCTTCTGAGTCACTGGAATCGCTTTCGCTATCGCTCTGACACTCTATAATAAAGGGTTCATCTAAATACGCGTCTTTTAGTCTGTATTCATTTTCAATTTTTTTCACATGATTACAAATGTTTTTCCACTGCACCGGTGTAATTTTATTGAATGCATCTTCAATTAATTGGGGCATTAGAACATTAGATTTTCCAACATTTTTGTCTGCTATGTTCCTTTTCATAGAGCTCCATATCATTTCAATTGCGTTCAAGTCGCAATGATAAGGCGGCAATCTAAGAATAACATGGCCATAACTTTTCATCAGGTTATCAATTTCATATTCCGGAGCAGGTTTATTTTTCTTTATTAACTCATAAAGCTGTGGTTTTGTCATTTGTTCATTGAAATCCACATTGTTTTCTACAAGCCACTTCTGCATATCAGCCTTACTGTGGTTTGAATTAGGACACCTATTTACGCAAATACTATGGTATGGCGCATTATCCATCACAATGAGAGAAGGTTCATGCAGATTAGGTAGTAATTTTTCATATACCCATTTTTTGAAATTAGTGCTATTCATTTCATCATGGTAGTCCCCATACTTTGTATTTGATTTAAATACGAGAAGTGCATTTTCCACAAAACCTTTTTCTCCATTTGCATGGATTATGATCCACCTATTACCTTTCGAAACAGGTTCCAAATCGCCATCCTCTTCAGGACCTTGCCAACATTTCCCAGTTGAGTGAGACGAATGTATGTAAGTTTCGTCTAAATAAATAATAGGTCTTTTTTCACCACACTCATTTTCTTTAATTTTTTGTAGGTAGGTTGCTCTCCATGCAACTACGTCGTTACTTTCATACAACACTTTTCTATTTGATTTTGTTTTCTTATAACTAAATCCTATTTTGTGAAGCAATTTTCGAAGAGTTTCACGTTCTGCTTTGAAATCAATATCTTCTTTTAAAATACTCAGTAATTTGGGTATGGTAGGAATTTCTTTTTTCACTGAATAAAATTCGTGAATTTTTCTTCTTATAACACCAATGTCGAAATTATCAACTTCTTGTTTCCCGGTTTTTCTTTGCCTTTTTTTGCCAGGGGTAGAAATTTTAGAATTTGATTCTTCAGCGTGTTTCTCTTCATTTACGAGTTTGTGTACAAATCGCTCAGAAACACCTGTAACGTAACGACAAATAATTATTGTATAGGTAAAATTAAATAAATATAAGCCCGTGTATATACCGTCACTATAGCTACTTCACAGACCACAAATTACAAAGCTAGGTAATTTAGACGAATTACAGTAAATTGAGAATTTTTTTTTACTATGTTTCACAAGTACATTATTAGGTGATTTTAATTTTCCATATCTGGCAATACTAACCTGTCGCGGCAGTAACGCGTTCATACAGCTTTTCAAATGGTATAATTAGGGCTTGTACACGTTTCTCTTCTTTCATAAAAGATAAAACTTTTAGGATAATCTGTCGCGCATCACTTTTAAGAGCTTTAGGCATTTTATTTGCACTTTTTAAAAACACTCACCTGATAGCTCAGAATAAATAATAACTGACAGCGAAATGTCATTTACAAAATGGCGGCCTTAGTTCCAATTTTGTCCACCTGAACAGATAAGTTGGTGGCACTATAATTAAGTAATTCCGTCTATTGTTCGTTTTAATGAGCGTTTATGTCGTAATCTATTAATAGATTTTTACAAAATACTTATATAATTTTTAGATATTGCTAGAATCAGGCCCGTCGCATTTTACACGAAGTGTAAAATAAGATAAAGAAAATAACCTACTATTTACTATGACTTATATATTACTAGCGTAAGGACCGGCCCGACCGAACAACTAAAACGGACCAGTGCGTTGGCCCTAAAATTACAGTTTAGGGCCAACGCGAATCGGACAGTGGTGCGCGCGCAGGTGGTAAACCCCTTTAGGGGTATATGTGTTCTGTGGTGGTAAAAGAATCCAAAAAATACGATACAAAGATTTTTTAAAAAAAAGGGCTATCGTATCATCGATAAATAACCTTATATTAATTTTGTTACAATGAAGTAATTATATAAACGCATTTTTAAAGTTTTATTTTACAGTGAGTTTACCCCCAAAAATATTGTACATGGAAAATAAAATTATGCTATGTAAAAAAATTATATCACGTTTGACGTTTCATGTTTCTTTTTTCCCATGTGTCGGGATTTTGGCGTCACGCGCCTAGTTTATCTATACGTTTCGGTTTTTGACGGTTTTATTTTTATTTCTGTTTAATTTTTGTCGAAAGAACTTAGTTTAAGTTAAATTTTGCGTATTGTTACCTAATATATTTTATATTCAATAAGGGTAAAACGAAAAGAGTACAAAATAAATTATATCTGCTTAATTGAATCTGAAAATCTGATTTATAAAATATTTTGAAATTCTGTTTTCAAACGGATTGCTTCTGGAGCATAGAGTTTTTTTCGTGGTAGCCCCTTACCTTACTATAGTTGTATCAAGGATGCAACATAAATGCATCGATCGAGCATCGATTAACCAGAAAGGGAGCTAATTCTAATTTTATTAAAAAACGCGGTACTTATGTACAATACAGAAATTCTCGATATCGTAGGGTTGATATTAAAATGTAAAAGGACTAATAAATATACAAGTCGACCTTTAGGTAAAATATGGTATTTTCGCTTAGTATTATTACAATACTATGTACTATAAACTATGAAATAATTGTACAATTAGGATAATTATACTACGAAATCCGACCCTGGTTACGTCGTGTGTCGATATGACGTTTGTAGTATGACAGATGCGCTACTTTTTCTTGTATGAAAAAGTTATGAGTAAAATATTTAGATGGGCATATCCTTCCTTTTGAAATCATTGAGTATGTATAACAACTTTTACAACTACCTTTTTTAAAAATAGAACTTGCTATATAAATAAGCGAATTATTTATTTTCAGAATATTATTTTAACAGAAAATCAAATTAATCAATTGGTAAATTATGGTGCCCCTCAGACAAATGATGTGCTCATAAATGTTTCTACGTTTATAAGAATCAAGAAACAGGTATATATAGTAATTGATTTTATTAGAAATCCAGAACATTGTAAGTGCCATATGCTTATGATAAGAGTCGTGGTAGTTCAGGCGCTAAACTCTTGCTGTAAATTTAACAGTACATACTCGGGTTTGATACCGAATTAAAGGTTCATATTTCTTTTAAGCAACACAAAAGCGTTATAGCGAAACTAGACTGTGATTTAAATTTCATATCTGTATTGTGTGTGCATTGGGTCTAAATCAAAACAATAAAAGTACTTAAAGTGTAATCTTGGTGTACTGATTTACTGTACTGTCAAATTACATTGATTTAAGAAGCAGATTAAATTCTTTATCACCTACATGATTCGCTTAGTTAATTTTGTGGATTCTTTCATAAAACTCATGAGCATTTGCTAAGGTTTTGTAACAAAATAACATTAAAATGAGACTACATCGCCTGTGCGGTAATAAATATCCACTTAAAATTTATAGATGGCTTTGCGGGACAGAGGTTGTTCATCATGAAATCTGCTATATCATGCCATATCAAAAGTATTGTCCTTAATTTTGAATTTTGTGCCTTTTCCAGATTTATAAACATAACATATTAAAGCTGTTGATATACCTATAGATTGTTACAAAAGATATTTGCATTACCCTACCAAAATGCTTAAAAAACATTTGTTAAAAACTATTCCACTTAAACCAGGGAAAAATAATCAAATGTTTTCTGGACTAGAGAACCTAGTGGATATGCAAACAGACAGAGAAAACATTTGTACCTTGATCTTTGATTAAATGGGGATCAAAAAAAATTTATCATACAATAAGAAGTTGGACATCATTGAGGGGTATCAAGATCAAGGAAATCAAGGTCGAACGAATGAAGTGGCTAACAAAGCACTTGTTTTTATACTTTCTGGCATTAGAAAGAAATGGAAGCAGCCAATAGCATATTATTTGTCAGGAAATTACACAACTGCTGATAGATTGGCCACTTTGATAAAAGAGGTACTTGTGAAGTATTTTTACCCCTAAATATAATAATATACTTTCCTATGCAAATGCAAAATTTTTTCTTATATATGTACATATTTTATTCTAGGTCCTAGAGGAATGTTTCAAGGTGGGACTAAATATTATAGCCACAATGTGTGATCTTTCTCAGGTGAATGTAAGAGCAATGGATATACTTGATTCTGCAACTGACAAACCATGATTTGAATACCATAGTCATCAGATATTTAAACCCACCCCATTTTCTGAAATGCTTCAGAAATCTTTTTATGAAGCATGATGTATTGTACCTATCAAATGTACATTCAAGTGGAAAATCTTTAAATGGTATTTGTATGTTATTTATATTATATAATACAATAAACTAAAATGTTTTCAGCACTGTCAAATGGCACCAAATTTTAATTTATTTAGATTAGGCCAAATGTAAACTTTATTTAGTTTGATTATAAATCCCTTGTGACTCTATATATTATACATGGTAGAGCCACACTGCAGATATATTATGGTTGTAGCACAAATGAGTCGACTCGGCTGGGAAAGCACCACACTCACAGAATGTGTTTCGTATGGTGAGTGTAGATATCTGGAGACCCTTTTTTACTAGACATTCTGTTGTAGTCCTCAGGGATGACAACACATCTACGTTTTGATTCTTAATCGAGGATATATGTAGATGACTATTGGCCACAGCATCCACTTACTATCAGGTAGACTGTGTGCCCGTTTGTCACCCTTATTCTATAAAAAACACCTCTGTTTATGTATAAATTGAGATAGATAGTTCTGGACATATTTTTTGCTTTTAGCTGACAGTGCATCTTTTATAAAAAGAGAGAAGAAAGTTAGATGATCATAAAACCATCATGCTTATGTCAGATGTAAAATATCCAGAACGATGAAGAGAAGCACCTGCAAATGTGCAAAACATATAGCACTACAGCGTAACTTTTTTGTGAAATCCTCTCCCATCTTCTGAAGGTAGAGGCCCATGTGCAACAATAGACTTATGGTCCGCTATAAAAAGGCAAGTGTAAGAGTCCCCGTTTTCAATAGTGGTAACATATTTGACATAAATATTATATACATTAAAAATGTCTACGATTTAGATAGAAATAAAATAAAGATCATGTTTAATGTCCATATCACACCTATCCCAGTAGTTGTTGGGAGCACTAAGCTCAAAGTTGTTGACAAGATCGTTTACATGGGACAAATACTCCGATTAGGTAAGTCCAACTTCGACCGAGAGGTCAATCGACGGATTCAACTCGGCAGGGTAGCGTTCGGGACGACATATCTTCTCGTCAGGTGTACCACACAATCTGAAAACTAGATTTACTACAAGTAGAGCTATGGAGAGGGCTATGCTCGGGGTTTCTCTGCGTGATAAACTTAGAAATGAGGATATCTGCAGTAGAACCAGTGTGTTTGACATAACTCAACGGATTAGTAAGCTGGGCAGTGGGCCGGCCATATAGCTCGAAGAAGAGACAACCGATGGGGAAAAAAGGTTCTCGAGTGGCAGCCTCATACAGGTAGGCGTAGTGTAGGTTGACCCCCACTAGATGGAATGACGACCTGGTAAGACATGCAGGAAGTTGATGGGTGCAGGTGGCTCAGGACCATGCTTTGTGGCATTCCTTGGGGGAGACAAAAAAGGCCCAAAAAAAAAGAGAAAAAAAAAAATGTTTAATAAATAGCAGTAGACTTGTGAAAGGTTGTAATGATGATGATGATGATGATGATGGTGAGATAGAAATAATCCGAACTTTGTTTATGCTCCTACCTTGACTGATATTCGTATATCGCCAAACAAACAGAAAATGCGTGTGAAGGTTGCTGCACCAATATTCAGTAATTCTGTAACTGCTGGTGCTGGTATACTAGCAAAAATTTCATCAAGTGAGCACACCTATATTTCCTTCCTTTCCTTTTCTAACTGTTTATTAGTTTGTAAATTATATTAAATATTTTCTAATATGTTATACTCGTTCTTGGGACTGTAACATGAATGTAATTCTTATTATAATTACAGATATTTCCTGCGGAAGCTGTGTAGCCACTGCAAGCTTTAATTATCAAATTGATTAAATTATTCTTAAATGTCGACTCGAGAGATTGACGACGGGGCAAGAAGCATACAAAAAATATGTCTTTAAAAAGTCCACATTTAGAATACTTCAAATACATAATTTTTAAGAGATATAAAATTTTGTGGATGTAATAACAATCCGCCGTCTCAAGAAGGATGGATATAAAAAGTTTTTGAAATCTAAAATAAAATTAGAGTAAAATAAATTACAAAATTATACCTATTTATAGTTTTACTAATTACCGAAGGTAAATTAGAGTAATTTTGGCGAAAACCTATTAAATGTATGGGAATCAATCCAATTGGTTTGTGAGGTTTGTGCTAAAATTACTCCAATTTGTCTCACACAAAGTTTGTAGAGTATTGTAATAGAATAAAAAGACTTGAGAATCCCGATAAAAAAGTTTTGTAATAAGTGTACACTACACTACAGGCGCTTCTTCGCGCGGTCTTTCCGTTTTTTAGCATGAAGTTGGCGTTCTTCTCTCGGTAGAGTAGTGTTCTGTGGCCCTGACATACCATTCGCCTCCTTTAAATCCATATAACTACTCTACCGTCGGCTCTACTGGGGTAAAACCAAGCTCACAGAATACCAGCGTAAAATGCTGCTAGCATTAAACTGTTGTGTTTCCTATGGTGAGTGTAGAGAACCGGAGACCCTTGTTACTGAAAACAAGGTGTTCCATCTTAGTCCTCAGGAGTGACAACGCATCTGCATTTAGCTTTTTTAACTGAGGATAAATGTAGATGTCAATGGGCCACAGCATCTACGTACCATCAGGTGGACTGTGTGCTCGTTTATTACCCTTATTATATAAAAAAATGGTAATGTTTTCTATTTAAGTTATGCTCATTTACATAATATTCCTCCTTCAACATCAGCCGTGAATCAGTTTACTACTAGAGATAATATTAACGTCTCCCAAATCCCTAACATATTAATCACCCACCACACAGCTCCGATCCGCGCCCGTCTTAAGTTATTATTCATTATGATTTCCTATATTTACGCAAACACTAAACATTGACTGAAACTTATTTTACGGATGTTATCGCGTTTAATTTAAATTATTTTTAATTTGCGACGTTTTGGGCGCTTTCCAGTCCCCCGTGAGCTCGTGACCACGGGTGCGCCCGAAACGTGGGAAATTAAAAATAACTTAAACGCGATAAAATTCGTAAAAGTAGTTTCAATCGACTATTATTCATTTCTAAAAAATCTCAAATTGTGAAAACTTTGTAAATAATAAAATGTTACTTTTTTATTCCGTGAAGAGGTTTTATTTATATCTGCTAGAATTAGAAACCAGTCCGCAATTCTCCTTTCAATCAATCTGTCAAAATTTTCGTGTCAGTTGAATTTTGTGCAATATATAAAAATGTTTTGTTAAATTTTTCACGTTATTTTAAAACAAAGTTGTTTAATACTTTAAAATACAATTCCGGCTTTAACCGTTTTTTTTTTACTTAATTATGAAATAGTGGAAGACGTAAATCAAGATGAATTTTTTTCGATTCTTTTCACCGAAAAAACATCAAGAACGGGATGATGAATAAATGTGGAAAAGTAAAAAACCCTTGCAAATTATGCTTGCGGGGTGTAACAACTAAGACCGGGGTCCAGTGTAAAGGTGTTTGTAAGAAATGGGCTCATTTCAAATGCTTGAATTATACGCCAGGAAAAATCCAAGACATCAAAGCTGGCATCATCAAAATCACTTGCCCTTGTCCAGATTGCAATACGACCGAACCCAAAGAGATAATGGTTGATCCCCCGTACACTTGTAATAACTTCCAGTGCCCAGCCAATAGTCTACCAACATGCGAATCCGCAGACTGTCCTAGTATGTACCATATTACAAAAACTCCTATCATGCCTGAGCCTTCACCGTCTAACATAAGTTCTCACATTAGACCGCCTATATGCCCAATAAAGCGATGTGATAATTCTCCTCCATCCTCTCCACCAATTAATTGGTCTTTTGAATCGGCGTGTTATCCTAAGCCACTTGACCAGCCTTCTTGTAAAAAGCAGTGTGAAACCCAACCCATTTCTAAAGTGTTCGAGCTTCCTCCAAGCATGAAGCCTTGCCAGCCTTGCCCCCCACCGCCAAGATGTCCTCCTTCGAATCGACCGTGCCCTCATCTACCTCCAATTTCACAAATTGCACCAATTTCCACTAGAACGGAAAGCAAGCTGTGTTCGCCGATTCGTTCTTTATCTTGTTCGTTTTTGGCTAGAGATTCAAATTGTACCGGTTAGTAAATAATTTAATTATCTTTGATGTGTATTTGTAAAAGTTTATTAGACTTTTTTCATTCACCACAGTTCATTAAAAGTCAACTGCTGAACATATGCTAGTGGGTCAGCATCTGCAGGTTGTAATTTTTTTTTATCGAGAAATTTCTGCTGCCCATTTCCTAGTTTGTAACCCTCGGGATGACAAGGAATGAAAGGAAGAAGGATAGTGAATACTTTTACACTGCGCGGCTTAATAAAAATTAATTAAATAAAAATTTTGCATTACGGTTTCAGGTTCCCAAAGGACATGGTCGCAAAATGACAAAAGCCTAGGTAAATATTGTTTTTTTTTCTCTTCGTTATTCTAGTGGTTGTCGACCGACAACCAGGCCAGTGTTTGTAAGCACGACTGCTGATATGTGATCCCGGATCGGACCAAAAATCAGTTTCTAGGTTTTTCTGTCAAGAAATTTTCCGTATTTAGGAATATCTGGCAGTGTTTTACCCCTTGCCTCAGAAAGCATGAAATGGCGTTGGTCGTGCGCCTGATATCTATCTCTCTGGTCGGGTCGGCTTGCCGTTCGATTGGCCTATGAGAGTGAGGGAATAGTTAGTGCACCTGTGCTTGCGCACACAATTATCCACTATAATCCTATACTATTTATAGCTTCTAATATATATATCTAATATAAAAATCCCGAGTGCGAACTGATCTTACACTCAATAAAAAAAAATTAATAAACAAACATTTTTTAATGTTTCTTTTTTTTTAATGTTAGTTTTTTGTGTAGATTTGGAAAAAGGTATTACAACT